CCCACTGGAGCTGCTGGAAGAGGTGTTAGTGGGGCCAGCAGGGGGCGCTCACCCGCAGTCTGTGTGGGTCCTTACACCCCAGTATAGTGACAGGGACACTGTACTGTAAACAGGCGCCATCATTTGGATGAGATTTAAAACCGAGGTCCCGACTCTCTGTGGTCATTAAAAATCCCAGGGTGTTTCTCGAAAAGAGTAGGGGTGTAATCCCGGTGCCCTGGCCAAATTTCTTCCTGGCCTTTACCAGTCATGGCCTCATAATAACCCCCCTCTGTGAACTGGCTTCATCACTCTGCTCTCCTCCCCACTGAGAGCTGGTGTGTGGGGAGCAGACTGGCGTATCATCCAGTTGGGGCTGCACACTGGTCGTGGTGGAGGGGATCCCCATGACCTGTAAAGTGCTGTCAGTGGAGTGTCCAGAAAGGCGCTATATAAGTATCAGGATTGACTTTGGGTCACACTGCAGCGGAATCTGTCCGCCAGGTGAAAAGCCTCTTGGATGACTGTGGCGATCTGTGCAGGGTTATTTCTGGTCAGGTGAGCTGTTCCTGGCAGCAGTGTCGGTCTTCTCTGTAATGACGAGCTGACAGAAGTCACGAGTGGTCTGGTATTGGCAGGAAACTGCGCAGCTTGTAGAGACCCCGGTACTTTCCAGCGGAGCAGGACGCGCCCGGGGTGGAGACAGCCTCCCCGAGACCTCGCACAGCCCTCTCCTCTTCACCTTCATCGCCTTTTCCTCGACGCTGGCGGCCCTGTTCAGGTAGGGTTACTTAACTCTCTTTTGACGTCTCTCTGAGGAATACAACACAGCTCCTCTCGGTTTTCATCGGCGTATAGACGCAGGGGGCAGTGCGGTGGTGCAGTGGAGCTGTCTGTGTGGAGTTTGCATGTTCTCCCCATGGTTGTGTGGGTTTCCTCTGGGTGCTCCAGTTTCCTCCCAAGGTCCAGAGACATGCTGGCGCGTTAACTGACTTCTGGGAAAAGTGGCCCTGGTGTGAGTCAGTGTGTGTCTGTGTCTGTGTCTGCCCTGTGCTGGACTGGTGTGCCTGTTGCTTGCTGGGGTTTGGAAGACCAAATTTGGAAGATGTGGTTAGATGGTGGGTGGAAGGAAAGAAAGCTCGGTTTTACATAAAGCAGATTACATCGGCAGAACTACTTGAACAGAACTGTGAGGGTGCAATTTCGGAGATTCCAGTAGAGTAACTGTGTGTCAGTGGGTGAAAATAAAAAAGCAGACAATTTTAGGGAATAAGAACAATTAGTACACCGACTGAGTGGAGTAAAAACAGTCTTATTACAAAAACCCATAATTGAGCTGCGCCTGTTTCAAGCGCTGTTTCATTTGACATTTTCTAACATGTAACTAAATTCACAACTTTTCCTCTGGACAGAGACTTCGATCAACACCTTTCAGGGCTGCATCCTTACACCTTCTCCACCCAGTTCTGTCCTGCCTGCTCCATTGGGATCATTCCCAGTTCTGTCCTGCCTGCTCCGCTGGGATCATTCCCAGTTCTGTCCTGCCTGCT